CAGCATCCATGGATTTCTCCCCAGCCCCACCTTTACTCAGACCCTCACATAGCGCTGTCAAACATAGGCTCAAACACACACATACACACATCAAGTTACTTGCAACTTACCTTGAGGTTTGGTGTCTGTGTCTGGTCCACAGTAAACCTCATGAGAATAGTGAACTGGAGGTCATTGGGGAAAGACTCTCTGCAAGTGAAAGCCGAAATCCACATTGTAATTGCAGCTTGCACATGAATACATCTCGAAGTAAGAGGAACTATGATTCCTTTAAAGTGTTTGAGAGGATGCTCTCAAACACTTTTTTTGATCTGATATATATATATATTCTTATATATGTAACAAATACTGCACAAACTAGCTTCCCTGATATTTCAAACATCTTACAGTACTCTTGAGAAAGCTCCAAAAAGCTAGAATGCTAAAAGCTAAAATGAACCTTTGAACTTAATTTTGTGACACATACTATTCCCAAAAGTCGAGTTAAATACAAATATAATTTTACTACATGGGTAGCAATGGATGAGCCCTTGCTACCCATGGCTAAACCATTTATATGCCTTAATCCAAGCCTACATGCGAGTGTGACGCCCACCGTGTGACATCAAGAGCTCTCTGAACCTTGGCTTGTACAGAGCCCAGCAGGTCAGCTCCCATCTTCTTCAGCAGCTGAGTGAGCAGGACAAACAACCAGTCCTGCAGGTCATCCTTATGAACCTGGATGAAGTCCACCAGTGTTTCTAGGAACATACTGAACACCTAAATGCACACACAGAGTTTGGGTCACACACACAGGGACTTCGCCACACAACAGTTCATGTTTCATGCACACACATGCATACAAGTACTCCTGCATTTACAGATACTCAAGCGTAATAATGTGAGAACAGCATTAGTTCCCATTTTGTAGTTAGTGGTTATTTGCTCAGCAGTGCAGCAGCCCCCCCCTCCCCAATCACCAATTCAACTTAAATCACCCAAATTTATTGCAATATTAATGCAATAAGACAACAACAGTGAGACAGTTAACAACTTAATAAGAATTAGCAAACACTAATCAGGCTATGTTTCGACCACCTCTACATGCCAGTTGCTGATTTCAGTGGTACGGTGTAGTTACAAGCGACATTATGTGAGGTAGGTTAGTGAGTGTTATGTTGCTGCCTTGTAAGTACAGTAGTTACCCAAATAAGATTAATAAAGCATATTTTTCACAAAATACTTTAACACTGATTGACCAAACTTACTCTCTACAGAGAGTTCCACAGTGTGGTGGCATGCGGGAGAGAGAGACAATGGTTAGCATCCTGACAAAGATGTAGTCAGTGTTTTAAGTGTACACTCAGTCTTGACTTTCAACACATTATTTTCAAAAATATTTAAGTCTGTTAAGAATCATAATGTGAACAATCTGAGGCAGAGTAGCAGGAAAAAATAAAAGTTGAGAAACATGAGAGATGGGAAGGAAGGAGTGGGAATGGTGTGGGACAGACAGATGAAGGCAGGAGAAAGAGATCCATGGTAAAATGCAGTACCTTGAAGGAGGCTGAGCTTATACCGGATTCTGCCGTGCCGTACACCCTGCTGCAGTCTCGCTGAAATTCATCAAATCGTCAAACGTCAAACGTGGGGAAGGAGAGGAAGCTCACACATCATACGACATGTGAGAGGAAACGGGCACTCAAAGAGGCCGAAAGATAAGCAGCAATGTTAGAGAGGACGAAACGCAGCTGGTTAGTCAGAGAGAAGAGCGGGCAGCCCAAATATGTGTATGTGATTTAGTGCATTTGACCACGTGCGGCGAGTGCTGTCGCTTCAGTCTGAAGGTAGGTATGGAAAAGAGAGGGAAGGGGCAGTGACTGGCTGCCGAACAGGAACAGAGCAATCCCAAAGGATGGAGGAGAGTGAGAGATCACGCAAACTCAGGGGTGGCATGCCGTTAGAAAACAATCCGTCGCACGCTCTGCATGCCTGTGTTTGAGTGTGTATATCCGTGTGTGCAGAATACAGTTTGACCTGTTTAGCCCATCTTTCACTCAGCACAAAAGGCAAAGGTTGTAGTAATCTATAGAGAAGACTGCATTTAACATCTGAGAGTCTTGAAATGTGTCTGCAAGTGTGTTAACAAATACATGTAACATTTGACTTGTTTAGGCAGAATCCGGTACAGTGAAGGATGGTGGATAAAGAATTTGGAACCCAAATAAAATCAAACTGGGTGAATGATGAATCTGTGTGGTGTGTTTGCGTGAGCGCTTGTGCTGCATGCTCTCATACCTTACTGTGAGGATCTGCAAACATCCTGGTGAAGATTTCACACAGCCTCTTCAACTCTACCCGACTGCAGATCAAACTAACAGTTAGATGAAGGTCAACAATTTATTAATCCTTTGAAACACATTTGCCTGCTCTGTGGCTGACCTGAGGGTACGCTGGTTCTTCAGCAGAGCCTGCAGGCCCAACAACCCT